TGCAGCGCTTGTGTTTATTCAATGAAATCATAGCCTTTTAAAGTTTAATCATCACATTCAGCCATATCGCAATTCTGGTCTTTCCGTCCCCAAATTTAAGACCTCTTGAAATCATAATTAAGACTTTCTTGTACAATTTAAGACTTTTTAAGGCCTTAAATTTGATACAACTAAATTTAAGACTTTTTAAGACTTTTTTTTAAGACCCGCGGAAACCCTGTTCTTTCATATTTTTCATTTGTATGTTCAGTAATTATAGTGTAGCATTATATATGTATCCTATTTCATATTTACAAATAACCTGAAAATCTGAAAAAGTGTAAGGAATGTGAAAATTAAAACAAAAGAAAAAAAAAACAAAGCTTTGGTAAAATGTATAAGAAACATTTTTATTGTCTCAGACTTGCAATATAATAATTTGCTATTTAACAGGTGTGCCTAGATGTGAAGGCTGTGTTGTTTCTGAATGTGTGTCAAAACAGGAATGGGTTTTGAGGACAAAGTCAGAGTGAAAAGCCAGGCTTGGCTTTGAATTTTAAACTGACCAAATCAAATTCCAAACATTGCCGAAGACCTGCTAATCCTAACAGCTAGATGAGCAGCTTTGTTGTGACGAAACAAAGATCTTTGATGTGTGTGAATCTTTTGTACCTCTGGCTCTCCGCAGTCACACTCCTCTCCTTCTTCAATGTATCCGTTGCCACATTTCTGTCCCCCGTAGAGCAATTTGACTTCAGGCATATTATATAAACACATGCCCACCCCTTTCTCCAGACTAGCCACCAGATCCTTCTTACTACACGTACTGAACACAGTGGGGAACGGGTACCTATTCACAAAGAGAGAGTAAGAAAAGAGAAAATTAATTTAACATTTTATTTAGTATTTTTGATTATTTTAATTTGTGTTTAATTTAATTTTATATTTAATTATTTTTTTTAATTTTATTGTTTATATTGTTTAAATTTTTTTTTTAATTATATATTGTCAATTTAATATAATTTAATATTTAAGTTCAGCAACTCCCATCTGAAAAATCATGCTAGTCAATTAGCTTTACCAACTTTGTTTTGCTGGTTAACAGCATGACCATACTGGTCTACCAGCACCAAACCAATAAACCAGCCTGGACCAGAAATTCATCCTGAGGTAAGGGCTCTTTTCAGCAGTAATTTTAACCAATAAAAAGCTTTCCAAGCAAATAAATGTCTAGCCAAACCCATTTTAAAGCAAAGGGATATAATGCATAATGGTACATAATCTCAACAAACCAGCCAAGCATGAAAAGTTGCAAGTATTCCTAAAGTCATTAATGGCATTACTTCTACAAGCACAAAAATGACAACAAAACAAAGCACATTTGCATATGACCTTCCACCATGACATTCACGCCGGAGTCCTCTACGTGATAGAACACTAAGCCAGCTAAGCGTAAGCCCATATGGTACTATTCATGTTAATTCATCACTATCGACACATGATTATAAACAAAACAGCGTCGGACCCGACCTCAGCCTGACCGTAGTCACTGTAGCGGCCACTGACACAAAGACTAAGCTCTTTCAGATGAAGCAGAGCAGCGGACGATCATATGACAGCCTCGGTCTGGGGCGGCTGCTTCGGGCAGGGAGCGAGACGAGGTGAAATATCTGAGAGGACAGCAAATGAAGCTCATTTGGGTCTGGGCTCTGCTCACTGGAGAGTACTGCAGAAGATCTTTCATGGTCTGTTGCCAGTATCTTCAGTTGACTAACTCACCACAACAAACAAGCTGAACAACAAAGTGCATATTTGCTAGGCACTCATAAATATGCGAAACACTGACTAAATGGATGTCCTTGAATTTGTGTGTTTTCGAAAGCTAAAGTGACTCTTCCTGCAGACTAATAGTGTATGTTTCACGAATCCTGTCCATGGACTTCCGTTCAATCACCACCAGAGGTCACCCTTCCATTACAGTGACTCTCGCACAACACAAACTGTTGCATGTCATCCCGGACTACATATCCCATCAGCCATTGCACTGATTGCACAGAGCACTTATTGCACACAGCACTGATTGCACACAGCTGTCATCAATCACACATTCACTATATAACACTCACTCAAACAACCATTCACTGCCGAGTATTGTAAGCGCTTATCACTCACCTAGCGATAGCTACTTTACGGAGCCAGTTCCTTGTCCTTGTTTAAGTATTTAGTTTTAGTTTCCATAGTCTAGTCATAGTCTTCTCTTGCCTGCTTTCCTGTGTTACCTGATTATTGCCTGTTTATCTTGAGTTAACCCTTTGCCTGCTGTTTCGGACTGTGTTTGCACCTCGCTACAGAGCCCTCTTTAGCTTCCTAGCCCAGCCCAGGCTAGTCTTGCCTTGTCTGTTTTCTCGGTTTCTGATCTTTGCCTGTTTTCCTGGATTTATCCCTTTAGTCTCGCCCTTGTGATTCTGTTCGCCGATCGTTGACCTACGCTAGCCCTAGGACTATTCTTGTGTCTTGCCCGCCATATACCTGTTTGCCACTGTTCGACCCTGCCTGTGTTTCTGACCTCCTCTGCTGTTAATAAAGCTTGCACATGGATCCGCACATCTCACGTCTTGTCAGCCCCGTAACAGAATGCATGCATGCATGTGAAAGGATTAAAACATTAATAATCATAAGGTTAATGGGTGTAACGCGTCTGTGCTGAAAAATTACAGCAAATGGTTACGTTCAGTAATTACAGTGTGGCATTATACATATAGCATATGTTTTTTGAAATAAACAAATTCTATGAAATAAACTAAAATTATATATTTAAAAAGCGTGAAATTTCCATTTAAACTTGTAAATAAAAAAAAATTAAAAAGTTGCAATAGGATTCAGCAATATTTAAATGGTAATTTCAAGGAAAATTAAAGCGTTTAAAAGAATGATGAAAGGTGAACAATAAAGGAAACATTGTCAAATGTAAGCAAATTTGTGACAATGAATGTTTAATTTAATTTAATTGTTTATTTTATTGATTATTTATATTATATTAATTTATTTATTATGTCCCCATCAGCTTCTGATCTTATATTTTATTTTCGTTAAATTTTTTTGCTTAATTTTCTTTTCTATTTTATTTACATTTATATTTTAGGAAAGGACCATTTAAAGTGTTAAATAGATTAGAAAATATGATAATCAGGTGAAGAAAGAATTGTCCAATTTCAAGAAGAAATTGAAAGCAAGAAAGAAACTGTCCAATTTTAATTTCTAATGAAAATAATTGTAGTAAAATATAGACATTTGTTTGGCCTCCAAAACACTGTGGACATACTGTATAGGCACATTAATTATCCAGAGTTCTGCATTGTTATTGTATGAGATGAGTGTCTTGGCTCACCAGAAGGACACTGAATTGAGCAACTAACACTCCGCAAACTCATAAAATTCTATTTGAGCTGTACTTTTACCAAAATGCAAATGCTGGTTTGGAGCTGGTCTTCCAAGTGGACCAGCAAAACTTACTTAACTGTTCTCTTGATGATGAAGCTGGTTGACCAAGTATTTCTTGCTGGTTAGGCTAGTTAAGCAGCCTGATAGGAACAACAATACACTGGCATCCAAAATATAACATGCTGTAAAAAACAAAGTACTTATAATACCGTTTTATAAACACCCATGACTCGGACAAGAAGCAATTCTGTCATCGGTGCCAGTACAGCAAAATAAACTCTGCAGATGAAAGAGAGGAAAATGGGAGAGAAGGATGGAGGGAGGTGTGGGGAGGAGAAACTGTTTGCCAGGAACATCAGCAGTCCCTGGGGGGAAGTGACCGCTTGTTTGGGGTTTTGTGGTGGGAGCCAAGCGTATGGAGGTGAGGGGACGACCGGCCAGACTCCTGCAAGGGGGTTTCTGGGTCTGTCCTCATCCTTCACCCTGTGTCCTCACTGCACTCTGCCCAAAAACACAACACCCCTGACTATAATCTATTGCTCATAGGCTGCTCTCAGATGAGTTTCATTTAAGGATTCAATTCATCGCAGATGTTTCTTGTAAAATTCCTAAATCGGACACCAATGAGACAAATGACGACATAAAATGATTGTGGATAGCATAGCTAAGAACATGTAAAAATTTTTAGTTCATAATGAAATCTCTGACTTCTGATAACAGACATTGGTATCTTGCCAAATCTGATTGATTATTTATTTATTGTTTGTTTGTTAAATACATAAGTGAACGAATAAACAAATAAACGAACAAACGAATGATTTCCATTCATTCATTCTGAAGAAAAATCTGCAGAATACACAAATAAATTCTATTTATATAATAAAAGTAATAATTTATTCTCCTTATAATTTAATATGATGGAGAAAATCTGCACACACACACACACACACACTTATTTATTCATTCTCTTGCAGACTTTCTCTATTTGATATTAAATTATGTTAAAAAGGGCCCTAGTAAAAATATGTCTTTAATAATATAATGTTCATATATTGTGTTATCACATGGCTTTTGAACAGTCTTTAGAAACCAGAATGAAAAATGCAACAGTAAAAATATCACATTTAGTAAATGTCTTGAAAATGGCTGTGTTAAAGGGGTCATATGATGCGATTTCAAGTTTTCCTTTCTCTTTGGAGTGTTACAAGCTGATTGTGCATAGATAAGATCCCTGAAGTTGCAAAGACTAAAGTCTCAAATCCAAAGAGAAAATTGATAACACATTAACGTTAAGAACCTTAATGTACCCTGGGGGGCTCGGACCTCAGTTTGAAAACTCCTGGTCTAAGAAAAATAATCAAGACATTAAAAAGATCACATTTTGACTTTTGTTTCCTATAAGACTGCACACAGACCATCATAATTCAGCCACAAAAGAAACAGACAAAACTCTATTGGCACTTCACTGTGTTATTGAAAATCAACACAGTCAGCTCAGTGACAATAAAACAGAAACAAGCAATTTAGCCCCAAAACACTGATTTGCAATGAGCCCCTGGCCTTCTGCAAATCTCACAGATGCCAGCAGTGTGGAAGTAAGCTGGGGCACAATCAAGCATGTATGAGTTTTAATGCCGCCTTTAAAGGGATTACCGTTGAAAGAGACCAATCAGCAGGGGCGTCTGGAAGTAAAAGTCATGACATTTGCAAATGGAAGCGACACATACTGTATCTTAAACACCCTAAGAAAAAGCTAATGATCCAAAAATGAAATTTAAGCGGTGCTGTAGTTTGTGCTATGAGCCGTTTGCAGCAGCGAGGGCTAGAACAGTAATGTGACAGAGGAAAGGACTTTGGTTTAAATAGGGATTGACTTTGGGGATGGAGAGCTTGGAATGGCACAGGCTAAGCTGGCAGAAGTTGGCATCAGGTAAAGTGGGTTAAGTGGACTTGGCGTGGTGAAGAGTGGTAGGAGCAAAAGCCAGATTGGTTTGTATGGCCTGGCATGCAGAGATGGTTTGAGGCACACATGAGCATGATTTGTGTGCCAATCCACTCTCAAAGTGCTGCAGGAGGGTTTTGGGATAAGAGAAAGCACAGATACAGCCATGCATAAAAACACACGCAAACACATGTACATATTTGCAGAGTTAAGTGTGCAAGTGCACTTAAACCTTCACATCATTCTTCTCTTTACTCAACTTTACTGATTGCCAAACGATTCGCTCTGTTCCCAGCATCTGTGCAACCCCTAAAGCCCTCCTTATGAATTCAAATTTGATCAAACAACAAATCCTTCCTGCCTGAACTGCACTTTACTTCTTTACCCCAGTAAATCAAAGCCGCAGACGCACAAAAATCCACAGAGAACTCCTGCAGTCTACCCTGTCAAAGCCTCTTTTTTCAACT